GAGGTAGCTTGGACCGTGGCGACTATGGTGACTACTACCACCATAGCCGGAGGAGCAGCGAGAGGAACCGCAACTATGACAGTGATGGGAGCAGGTGCCGGCGACACAGGTCCAGGACTAGGAGCCCCGTCAGGGAGGGCAGCGAGGAGAGGAGGGCGAAGATTGAGCAGTGGAACCGTGAAAGGGAGGCGCCTGCCAGGCAGGGCAGCGAAGAGAGGAGGGCGAAGATCGATCAGTGGAACCGTGAGAGGGAGACTGCTCAGGCGTGAGATCTCCTGTCTGACTGCAGGTTGAAGTGTTGCCTTGTTCACCGGATGTTCTGCTTGCTTGTCTGATCGTGTAATGGTAGATGGAGTTAGAATTTGGTCCTAGTGAACTTGCTTGGATGCCTGATGTAACATCTTCAGTGTTGTTCTTGTTGAACTTCCTCTATGGATTTGTTGATGGAACATATTTGGTGTTGGACTTGTTATTGTTATGATTATTATAGTGTGTTCCCTGAATGTTCCTTTGCTCACATTCCATGTTTCAGTCTAAATGCATTGGGATTGAACTTTTGTACCACTTGACGTCAACTTATATTCCATGAGATATCCTGCCAGTTTTTTTTAGAAGAGATTTCCTGCCAGTTTAAAAGGCAGAGGCAGAGTTTAGCACTCATGGTGCAGTTAGAAATCTAATCTAGCTTGTGTTGTTGATTTTTATCCTCGCCCCGTTTCAGGTTCTGTCAGATGTGTAAAAGTTTACGTCAGGCACACATTGTTATGTGAAAACAAGTTCAGCAATCGGCGGATTGCTTTGCTCAGGAAGCTTGTTCGAGTGCAATTGCAAGTTTGCAACGGGAACTGAATTTTGCATCACTCGAGATCACCAACTCAGGTTTCTTGTAATAATCTTTATCTTTTTACTACGGAGCCCAACTTCTTAGACAAGTTCACAGGAACTTCTACACTATGGTAAAATTTAGTCGCTCGAGATCAAAGACCTGAAGCTTCTTCATGTGTAAGCAATGGTCAATTCAGTCATCCTTGACCAGCTCAACTCCAGTGTTCTGTTGTGCAGTTCAGCACAAAGTCATTTCAATGGTCAGATGTGTCTGGACAATCCAAAATCATTTGTCTGTGTAATAATGCTAGCTCCAAAGGGGAGACGTTCTTTATTTCTTTTCAAAAAGAGAAGTATACAAAAGAAGTCCAGAGAGGATAGCTGCCGGTCTGACTGGGTTGGCGCGCGCATGAACCCATCGTAGAGGCTCTTCAAAGCCGCTACATCCTGCAGCATCTATATAAGGGGAAGCACCATAGGGTCCTGATAATCTATCAATTACAACAAGCTCGTCTGCCAATTCACAAACCTAACCTAAAACCCCACTTCCTACGCAAGCCAGTCTCAGACAAGTGCTCCAATGGCGTCCCAGCTGGTCGAGAGCCACCGCGCCGGGGCCGATGTCATCAAGGGGCGCGAAGTCTGCAAGAAGAAGTCTGTCGAGCTCCTTGAAGAGTTCGGCCTCCCGAAAGGCCTCTTTCCAATGGACGACATTGAGGAAATCGGGTACAACCGCGAGAGCGGGTTCGTGTGGATGCTTCAGAAGAAGAAGAACCAGCACACCTTCAAGAAGATCCAGCAGACTGTCTCCTACGACACCGAGGTGACCGCTTTTGTGGAGAAGGGCAAGATCAAGAAGGTCACCGGGGTCAAGGTCGAGGAGCTGTCTTTGGTCGAGGTCCATGTGGATAAGTCTTCTGCTGATAAGGTCACCGTCAAGACTGACACCGGTCTGTCTGACATCCATGATGCAGCCGCGTTCGCTCTCGGAGAATAGGGAAGTAAGTAGAAATGGCACGAAATGAAGTCAGTGAATGGTTCGACACTATGGTTCGCATGTTAATGTTATGCAGAAGTATCTTTCCGTTTTCTTGTAAGCTCAAGGCTGCTGCGTGAATGTTGTTCCCTTTCGGCTTGTAAGCTTTCGACAGTGAAATGAATAACTGCATTTATAGTTTTATACCCCCTCCTCCATCCCACATCGATGACTCTCAACTTTCCTCTCAGTGAATGGTTCAGAATCTTCAGATCGATGTGAAAAACAAGTTTTTCTTAAGCACATATTTTTATGTGAAAACAATTTCTTCTCTCAAATGTTGTTTTGTAGTATTAGAAGAACACCGAGAAAAAGGCAAAGGAAAAAAATGGGACAAAGCAGAAACCAGAGCAAACCTAAACTAGCCAAAATCTAAGAACTAGCAAAGAGAATGACACAACCAAGACAGAGCAAACTTTATACTACTATGGTTGAGGCTGCATGATCCATAGATTATTTTCTCTTTCTAAGTTTAGGTTGATGTGAAAACAAGTTGCTTTAATGTTCCATCATTATATCTTTGAGGCTTGGCTTCAGACAACATAAAATGGAAAGAACTCTCATCATGCCAACCCTCTACTCAGTTGAGAATGAAAAGGGTTAGAAATTAGTTAGTTTGAGGCTAAGTTTGTGACTGTTGAACTGTCAAATTATCTGACAATTTGATATGGAAAATAGCTATAAAAAGGCTAAGCTTATGATTGCTAATCAATGGAATATATTTTATTAATTTGGTGAGGAAAAAACAGCTGTAAAATATGCAAAAGTAAATTATTGCAAGTAGTTAAGTAGGCAAAAATAATTCGGTGAATGAAAGGTTTTTGGTCACCAGAAAACTTCCTGCTTTTCTAAAATACCAAAAATTGGTGCCCTAATATTTGGAACATGAACATAAGCACATTAATTCACTGCATATTTTGAACTCGTACTAAATGTTGCACATTAAACTTGAAACGACATGACTTAAACACTACTACGATCATAATTTTTATCTCTCCGCACGGTCTAGGGACCACGGCAATTACTTGAAGGAAATATGCCCTAGAGGCAATAATAAAGTTATTATTTATTTCCTCATATCATGATAAATGTTTATTATTCATGCTAGAATTGTATTAACCGGAAACATAATACATGTTTGAATACATAGACAAAACTATAGTCACTAGTATGCCTCTACTTGACTAGCTCATTAATCAAAGATGGTTATGTTTCCTAACCATAGACATGTGTTGTCATTTGATTAGTGG